GGGGGGGGGAAATCAGCTTAAAGCTAATTTGATTAAATTCATAATGGGACTGTGGAGTGTAACTGCTTGTTAATGTACATGCACTGCTTAGGATCTAGAAGAATTTGCTGTGGATTCTTTAAAACCTGTGTGCCAATTAGTTCAGTTTAACTTTGGTTGTGTGGTATTGAAGAATTCTTCAAACATCTGTGGTTTGAGCAACTTCATAATGTGTATTCTGTAAAGTGCCATAGACCTTTTTTTTTTGATTGTAGCATATTTAAATATATATATAAATATATATACACAAACTTGTGTGAGATGTGCAATACCAGGAATGGGTTTTCTTGTGGTTGTTTGTTTTTTTCCCTTAGTTTTTGCTTTTAAACAAGATATTTGAAAAGGGACTTCCCAGGGAAGAAAGTGGATGGAGTTTTCGTGGTGTGGACAAACTAAAGCATAAACTAATCCAACAGAATCAGCGATTCTGAGATTAATACAAAAGTATTAACAGCAGCTTAAAGATTTAACAAAACTATCTTCTAGATGGCTTTGAAACACTCAGATCTATACAATCCAGACAATTCAAAAACGTGAAGCTGTCTTCATCTCTAACAGGCTCAGCACGGTTTCTTCAAGTGCTCTATTTATCATGTGGCACTGCAAAAAACTTCACTACTGAGCTACTTCTGGGTTGTCTGTATCACCTTTGTATCTATTTTAATCAATAAAGTTCCCTGGATGATGAGTTCAGCCAAATCACTTCCACTTTCCATTGTTACCCCATGTCAGATTATCTCACATCCTAGTGGTAAAGGGAGAGGAGCTCAGCAAAAGCAGAGCGTGGCAGCCACGTACACACCACAGCCACCGCGGCGCACAGGGAGGATGGCTGTGGCAATCCAGCTGGAGCAGATTTTGAGCCATGGTTTATTTGTGGTACTGTTTTTCTGTTCTTGAGTCACCACTATGTACATTTGTTAGCATGAATGATGTACCTAATATGTTATTTTTGATCTAAATTTCAATTAAAATGTGAGTTTTCAAACTTTTAACAGGAGTCTGACTACCTTAATTTAAGCATTGGACAAGTTGAGCCACAGCAAAGTAACTTTCATTGTAGCTTTAATAGCATTTAAGATCCCAGCCCAATGATGTTGTTGGTATTTCAGACTTCCATCTGACTTTAACTGTTATTGCCACTTACTGATCAAAAAGCATGTGATCTGAAATCATAGCTATGTTATACAATACAGTTACATTAAAGAGACTTTATAACAATGTATGTCTGAGAAATGTTTTTCATTTTGCAACTAAAGCATTGCAGTTCCTTTCTCATGAAAAGGGGTAGCAAACGTGGTAAAAAAATCCTGCTTAATCACAGACTTCTAAAATGGTGTTTGCCACACTGTGTCATACCTTTCCCTGTGACTTGACAAACCCTAGAGAGAGGTCACACGTTTTTCTCTATGCAAATTTATGGCAGAACTAGAAGCAACGCTTGCAGTAGTTTAAAGAAAAGTCAGGATGTGACTTCTGTCTCGTAGTTGCTACAACACATTAAATTTATGTATCAATTCCATTTAGCTTAATTACACTTTTAACTGTTTCTAAACTTCCAAGAAGCAGCTCTTGGTTAAAACCTGGAGCACTTGAAATGGACAGTTGAGAAGAAGTTAGGGGATAGATGCCACTCCATGCACCACCACATCAGTCATCTTTCAAAGCAGGTATAGGTACAGCTGTTATTCTACAAATACAAAACACTGTCAAAAGAAATTACAAAGCACCACTTTGTCTGGCTAAAAATACTACCTTCCTTCTTCAGTAAGGTTGATGGAGGTGAAATACAGACTTCAGTTCTCCAACTGTGTGAGTTACAGATTTCTGTGTTCCAGTAACTTCTTCCCCAAGCTCCAGCTATGTTTAGAATGGTGATGCAGTGACAATGTGAATGTATATTATTTACATTCCCATCCCTCTGATATTAAGATGTTGTCTTGCTCCTGTGATTTGCTGAAACCTTGTTCAAATAGGTGCCTTTTTTTTGGGTTTTGGTATCTTCATATCAGTGAAATTCTGGGAGTGTTCCTAAATGGCTTTCAGGAAGACTCAGATGCAGTGGGAACAGTAACTTCGTCTAGCTGAGAAAGGTAAAGAAAATACGACTGCAAATTTAATCATGTTATTCTGACCCCTTCCATTGCTCTCTTACTTTGGACAATCCCACTGCCCAATCCAGCACATTCACTTTTTTCTCTAAACCATCAAAAATACACACATAGGAAAGACAACAGCGCTGGACTGCAGAACGGCACCATGTGCTTTGGCACGTGTGCAGTGCTGCAGTTTCGGATACACAGGGTTGTTTAACTGGGCTACAAACCTTGCAACATCTACTTTGCAGCAGCACTGT